GGCAGTTTACTTAATACGACTGATACAAAATAAAAACTAGCTATAATACCGCTTTTGAGTGCACTTTGTGTAATAGATAGGGGTTAGTTATCAACTTTGACCACGGTCCACCGACCAATACTCCAGCACTGTGCTAGGAACACCCAGAAGTTATTCTGAAAAACCTTGACGAGAATATTCCACATTTGAAGATATTGCAGCAAGCAATTGATACGACGCAATAGACTGAGGTATAGTTTTTGGTGCACTTTAAGTAGAACTGCTCCATCTGGCACATTTTGTCCATTCGGGAAGAATACCTTCCAATACGGCATTGTCTGATTGCGCCACTGAAGGTTCGTATGACTCTAGAGGGGCTGCCGAACTGGCCGTGCAAAATTGCCCCCCTTGCGACGATCAAATTGGCCATGTGATGATCAAAGCCAGAAATATGGCGTTTGTGAACACGATTTCCAGATACAACGGCCGTTAACCCCTGGGCTCTCAATCAATGGTATGTAAGGTGCGATGATGCGAGCAAACAATGGTGTATTGAGAGGCATATCTACCAAATTGAGCAACTGCGTTGTCAAGAGCAGTCTTTTCCTCTAAAAAATACACCAATTTTTAAAAGTGAGCTCACTTCATTGTATCTGATGCTTATTTCACTATCTGTTAACGCACAGTGGTGCTACCCATCCCGTTTTTCACCACGGAAGGAGACTTGCGGTGCTAAACACGCAGATACTCCAAAAGTGCATGCACACTGTTCTGTCGATCCGTCCTAACCGCAGTCTAAATGATCTAGCACCCGACATCATGTCCATTCCGCCTCTGTTGTTCTTGAAATTACATGTTATGTCTCGATTTCGACAAGACCTACGAGAAACTGCCGCAACCGGCCGAGAGAGAAGCTCAAAATGGTAAATTAGCCCACATTAGTGGCGTCCCACGTTTTTGTCTGCAACCGGTGTCAAATATCGGAGGGAAGATTCCCCGCTCATGTGCGAACGATGATGACACCTGCTAGATGCCGTGCGAATTACAATAATGCAGTTACACATATATGAAAGACATTCACCCGGTATAGTTGCCATGTGCTGTTTAGTAGGTATCAATTGCAAAACTGTTTGCTGCACCGGTGTGCTTGATTAATTTTCCAAGTTTTGCGTTCAACAATGTATTATACGATGCATATAACAATACTGTAATTACAACATCGCACAGACCGCAGGAAAGCGTCGAACCCAACAACATTGTCCATTTTCAAAGCTAGGATCTGCATGTTATGCATCTGCTAGGTAAATGATAATTGCAAATTTCTGAGCTCATTATCCTTGCGTCACTTTCCATCGTAATTATTGAATAGAGCAAGTGTGGCACTGAATGAAAACAAAGTTTTTGCGGTGAAACGGAAACAACCACTTGTATATGCGATCAAGGCTTGGCTGCAATCCGGACACTGTGTCTGGTCCTATTCAACTTTGAATGCGTTCCATTGGCTGTGCGTCAACAACTCATCCTAAAGTTATTTGATAGCAAATCTTTTCCGCAATAAGTAGTATCCACGCCTAACTTCTTGTTTTATGTGGCACAAAACATGATTCGTGTTTGATACTTGCACGGGCTGCGCAACATTGCTTGTGAGCCAATTCACGCCCGTTATGTCTCAAAGTTGTGCCCACGAACGCCAGATATGAACGACTTGACGATTATATTCTTCCTGGTCTTGAACGCCGCATCACCAATGGGGTCACACACTTTCAATGACGTTTCTATGGCATCGTGCATGCCTGAGTGACATCGAAATAGTCTACACGAAGCAGTTCGCACATCATCACCAGCGCGTGGCTCAGAAACCGGAGTTTTAGCTCTTGATAACGAAAGGGCTGTGAACTGTGCCAAATGCTCTTCAAGATGGCTATTTCAGTTTGAAACCCCATGCAAATGTGAGCCACTCCAAGTCTGCGGGGTGGAGGCTCTGAGGGTCGCTCACAGAGTGAGACAATGCCAGCATATTACTGGTACGTGACATTAGCTTAGCTCAACTGTTCGAGGTAACTGTCGCCTTCTGCTCCCCCAGCGACGTGGTCCCACGCATGATCGAATACCTTCTGCAACGGAGTCCGGGTCCGGTCCGGTCCGGGCCGGGTGTGTCCCGCTCTGCACCTCGAGTGCCCCGCTCCGCCCTGCCTGTCCGCCCGCCCGGCCGCGCCTCCCAACTGCAGAAGCTGGACGCACCCTGGCGGTAATCGCAGCCAATCGCCTCTGATGAGGGCTGGGCGGTAGCCAACTGCTGCTGAGAGGGTGGAGGGAGGGGGGGGGGGCTATCTGGTCACCCAGCGGCTGCCCGGTGTGGAAGGGCGGATCTAGACAAGCTTTTCACGCGTAGTGGGAATGCGAATGGTTGATGTCTCCAAGTTTTCAGCTATTTTCACGTCGAATGAGAAAAAAGATGTGCCAGAAGATAGCTTTATTGAAAAAGACAGCTTGCCTGTCTCTCCTTTTCCCCTTGGCTGAAGGACGATGGTAGGTGCATCGGTTAGAGGCGCGGGCGCCCAAAGTGAGTTTAATGATTCGTCGTGAGTGATCCCTTATGAATGCCTAGATTGGTTGGTCTCTTCATCGATAAATATGATGATGACCGGATTTGCAAAAAGTTCCGGACAGTGCATCTCTAGATGAACTTCTACACGTTTATAACTTTAAAACCCGTTTGCGAATTTAAAAGGGTCATTTTTACATTTGTGGGGCACTCCGTCCTGTTAAGTTTTCAACTTAAACAATTGTTGCATGAAGCGCAAGATAGCGCTACGGATAACATGACCAAACGGAACAATGCATGGTTCATAGGCAACCATTGTCAGCACCAATAGCTGCACCAGTTGTCCCAACCACACCTGTTATACCTGTGAAGCTGTTACCGAAGCGCGAGGGTGTGCTCCTAATAGCAATATGTTGCACCCCTTCTGGCTGGGTGCTGCACCCCCCCCCCCCCGCCCCCGTCCTCTCCAAATCCTCGTCCGACGAAAACTGTTGGCAACACTCCTGGTAACTAAGTACGATAATGCTTCATCTTCGTGATTATATATATATATATATATATATATATATATATATATATATATGCATGTATGGGAAGTGAATGGGAAAGCATGAACATGTAAATAAAGTTTCCTGTTAGCCAGCTGCCTGTTTTACGAACACATGAGCGTCAGGAATGGAAGCGGCTCGAGGGGCGGCATTTGGTCGCAGCGCCCACTCCACATGCTCGCGGAAAGAAAGTGAACTTGGGAAAAGGTGAGCGAGTGACAAAGTAAAAGAGTGAGCGGAAATTTGTGGTTAGTTTCGGTTATCCTGCGAGCCGATCCGATTCTCAACTTTAAATTGGGCGACTGCATCTGCCAGTGCCCGACAAATGAAGCAGCTCTTACCTCCTCTACGCCTTTCTCATATTTGCGCATAGTGTCCTCTACCGACCCGCACAGCGACCTACGGCTGTTACCAAATATCGCATACTGAAATGGAAGGACAGATGTGCGCAGCTTTTTATTTCCCCGTGGCTTAGCCAATGTTATTGAAGTAAACGGGGAAACGGAACATTGGTCAAACACAAAAATGACGAGGTAGCGTTTGCTGGAAATATGTGGGGCTGTTGTCTGACACATAGCAAATACAGGAACCTAAGTGCCAGTTGATTGGCATGCCGCTGGTACTGAAGTACTAGCGACGATATCTGAAGTGTTGGCTTAGAATGAAGCAGTAGCATTGTCTTGAAACTCATTATCGAAGCGTGGAAAATGCCTTTTCGAACAAGTCCGAAGTATTCACCAGGAAAAACGATATCGGCCTGTTCATGTACACATCCTCCTTCCCAATTAAAGTAGCAGGGGACGGGGGACACGACATTGGGGCTACGGCAAAAGTGCTATCGACAGGAGTGGTACGAGATTAGCCACATGCGTCATTGGCTCCCTCGAGATATCTTTACAGAATCTACTTCTACGCGCCATTGCTTCTTATATAAAAAAACTTATGCGCGGCCGTAAGCGACATATCTGCTAAACGACCAAATTGATGATTGAAAATCTTCTAGCCGGCATTATTTCTGCTGCAAACGCTTTTATACATTAATTTCTTATACGTGACGTTGCTCCTACTACAAAACTAATGCGCAACATTAGTGCTACACGACAAAACGTCAGCTTCAAAAACTGACACCCGTCATTACTTCCATTGCAAAAACTTATAGTCATTACTTATACGTGAGATTATTTCTGCTGCAAAAACTCGTGCTCGAAAGAAGTACTACACGACACAAGCCTATCAAAAACTAATATTGTATGCATGCATCTTCAGTATAAGGAATGACTGTTCAAGTTTTTGCAGTAGAAGGAACAACGGATATAAGTTTTGATGTAAAAGTTTTGTCGGGTTGCAATACTGTTGCGCATAACTTTTAGAGTAGAGACAATATCGCGCATAAGCAATTGCTATATAACTCTTTGCTGTAGAAGTAGTGACAGGTTCAAGCTTTGGAAGTACAAGTTTTAACGTGCAACACTAATGTCGTGTACATGTGTTCGCAGTAGGAGAAATGTCATCGCACTGTTGGCGGTAGGAATTCTGGCTCTGCCAGTAACAACGTGGGACCGAATATGGTGGTAGTACACCTAGAGCGGTGCTGCCACATCCTCCGCTGAATGTATTCATTCTTATCTCTTTGTACGTTCTTTGCCTATTTTACCTCCCCGTTTCCCCCATTTTGTTTAAGGAAACGGAGGACAACGCGTTAGGCATGTACGTTCCGTGAGACGGTAGGCATGTGCACACCGTAAGCCGTTAGGCATGTACATAGTGTAAGACTTTAGGTATGTACAAACCTAACGTCTTACGGCCCTCTTGGCCCTATGTTATGGCGTATTATGGGGCTTCATGTATCGGGACCGATTCAGCCTTATTAGCCAGCGATGCACGTCGCGAGAAGGCCGGAAGCACCTCAGCTATCTTGGCGCGTGTCAGTCATGTTTCGTGCTTCAATTTCCAGCTGATGATTTCAGTCTATGTGCTTCATTTCCCTTCAGCCCTTCAGCCTATGTGCCGTGTTGCACGATCTTGCCTACCTACCAAGCTTACCCAGACTACTTATACAGTTTTTGTTGCGGCCCGTGCAACAGCCATTATCGCACACATATAATTGCATCAAACCGATCTTGCTTTTGAGGCTAAACGCAGATGACATATTGCCCACACTTCAAAGCTCAGGTCTCGAAACCCACGCACGACGGCAAAGTCGGCGGCCAACACAACGTCAACACAAAGTCCTGAACATCCCTTCACATCTCGGCGATGCCTCGGAGGTCTGCAAAGGACAGGGAAGACACCATAGTGGAGATCACCCACAAGCATGTGCCACGAGAGCTGGAGGACTTCCAGGTACAGAGGAGACAGCGCTTCGAGCGCTCCTACGAGATGACCATGGATCAACCGACTATTCCAGGGCCCATCGAGGCTCACATGCAGGACATACTCGACGTGCGCTTCAAAAATGAACGGTATGTCTTGTCAGATCACGCTTCCAGACATGCTGTGTTCGAATTGAGTTCCGGGGCTGGTTCGAGCTTGTTTTTGGGTTAAAAATGATGTTGCACCACATCCGGTTAATCCATGGCTCAGCGAGCAGACTCAATCAGTTCGATTCAAGTCAATCAATTCAATCAATTTTGGCCCTAATCAAGTCACGTTTTACGCGTGACCCAAGAAAATGCAACGTTGCCGTAGGACAACGCAAAACAGCGATGCATTTTGCGTTGACAGAGACGCGACATATTGGGCAACGCTGCGTTCCGTTTGTGGCCACCGATGCCTCCCATGCCATGCCTCCTGCTCCAGCTACGACCCGGAGAAGATGAAAGAGTTGGCGGCCGATGCAGCGGAGGAGATAAAAAAACATATCATTGAAGTGGCGTCCCAAAGAGTTCGAGTCGTCGTACACGTGAGTTTGCACGACTTGTCTCTTTTTGGCCATTCTTTGTTGGAATCAGAGGCAGCAGAAATGTTCTGTGGTGCTCGCGCACACCATTCCCTTCATATGTCTCCAGCGGCGTAGTTGCTGAATCTGTGCCGGCGTTGTACAGCGGGGGGGGGGGGGGGTGATTAATCGGATAATCGTCCTCTGTTGTGTTGAGGTGTGCACACCAACACAGCACGGGTGTACACACTTGTACACTTGGCGAAGGCGAGACCGTACAATCAGTCCATCCGTGATACTAATACACTGCATTAATCATATAAAACTGTGGTGCAGTCATATTTGTCACATTTTTTAGAATGAGGATCATCAGATTTGAAGGATTTTTGGCTCGTTTCGATAATTTTTCGTTAAAACTCTGACATCTGGAAATCAGGATTGAGATCTCCTTTTGCTAGTATGTGTGTGGTTACTCGAAACTCATCCAATGATTGATTGACGTGATCATTTTCTGTCCAAATAAAAAGATGACAGTGTCGCACTCAAAATGGTAGTATTGTTTCCCCATAGACTTGCGAAACGCTCATTCACATGTTAAAATAAGCATAACTGACGATGGCAATTGGGCCGCAAAACATTGGATGGTGTCGGCTGGCCGCGCGCCCCGGCGACCAAGTGCGCCGGCTGGAGCGGGGCGGGACAAACTCGTCATGGAAAGTAGGTGGAGAGTCAGCATACACCGCGTTACGCAATGTCTGCGTCGAACTTGCGCATGACGTGTGTTTATCTAACCTAGGCCTCGTATTGTATGGTTGCTTAGCCTTTCTCGCAAGATTAGTTGAACAACGTGAGATTTCAAGGCTAGAAAATGCTAACCGCCGGCTATAAGGTGTCGTGGTTTCTGGCAACCTCACATTCCTCACACCTTCCAGGGTGCAGTGGTCATGTTGCCAGCACAGCTGGGCAGTTTGTCTTAAGGTGAAGCGGGATTAGGAATCTCAAGAAAAGTATTACTTGCGGGGTGTGGTCGCGCTCGTCTCGCCACGCTGGAGCGGACGCGACAGCGGCATGCGGGCCGTCTCGCCGCGCTGGAGCGGACTCGACAGCGGCATGCGGGCCGTCTCGCCGCGCTGGAGCGGACGCGCCGGCGTCATGCGGGCCGTCTCGCCACACTGGAGCGGACGCGACAGCGGCATGCAGGCCGTCTCGCCGCGCTGGAGCGGACGTGCCGGCGTCATGCGGGCCGCCTCGCCACACTGGAACGGACGCGACAGCGGCATGCAGGCCGTCTCGCCGCGCTGGAGCGGACGCGCCGGCGTCATGCGGGCCGTCTCGCCACACTGGAACGGACTCGACAGCGGCATGCGGGCCGTCTCGCCGTGCTGGAGCAGGCGCGCCGGCGGCATGTGGGCCGTCTCGCCACACTGGGGCGATTCTAATTGATTCCCAATGACCCTCATTCTATAAAATATAGGCTCCCGGTATTTTCGGCGCGATCAGTTCATCAGACAAGCCTTTGGCATGAGAGGATCTGCGTTTTTCAAATGACAGTACGAAAGCTGGAGAGAGGGGGCTTTTGAGCGCTTCGACTGCGCGGTCATACAGCAAGGCTAGGGCGGACCTCCCGCTGTAGCTAGAGCAAGACCACTTGTGGGGGCGCCCCCTACAGTGCTGAGTGCGTGGTTCAGTGCTCTGAACCATCCGGCCTCCAGAAGGTATGCGTCGTAGAGCATAAGGCAGAAGCAGCAAGCAGTGCTTGACGATGCACTCAGCTGCTGAGGCTGTGTGACGACGCCTGCCTCTCACACTGACAGAAGAGCGGACGCTGCGGAGAATCAAACCTCTGATTTCCCAGATGTGCAGCCTAACTACTACGCTACTGGTACCCTCTCGACAGGTGATGACAGGCGAGGCTACAGGACAGGCGGTGCGGGCCATCACCCGCTGTCTCTGGGACCCGGAGAAGGACCGTTCCATGCGCGCCGTCGTCGAGAATCAGGAGCTGTTCGCGGTAGCGTCGGCGTTCGCGCTGTACTACGAGTGAGGCGCCGGCGGCAGCCCGCTGGCTGTCGGTGCTCTGCCGGACTTCTTGGTCCATTTAGGGGAATCAGGCGTAGGGTGCTTCATGTTACCTACGCCCTAAATAAATCTCGAACGGAACCTGGATAGCAATAGTCGACCATTAGATGTGTGAGTGATATACGAAATGGCCTTCTGTGCTGGATTTCTGGTTCCGTGGCGACTCGCTTTGCCGTTCTGCAAAGCATACCGCGTTATTTGCTGGCGCGATTGCGTCGTACCATGCACGTGGAAAACAGTGACTGGGAATGGGAGGGAGATAGACTTAAAAAGCACAAAGGCAGAAAGAGGTGGCAATGAAGGAGTGGCACTCAGACGCTGTTCAGCTTCACACGCTCAATGGTAGCCTGTCCTTGCCACATCATCGCGAAATAAACCACCGGAGACAATGGCGAAAGCATCCGGCGTGTATTGAACAAAATGCCAACAGCTGGCCCAGGCCACTCCGTAGTTTCCGCACATGAAGTCTTCACCAGCTGAAGGCCAGTGGGACAAGCATCCGAATGCCCCTGTGGTGCGGGCATGCTACTTCAACCCACACCGGCAAATGCACGCAAAAACACTGCTTTACAGCGAGCAGAGGCACCACCGAAACCTCTTGTTCCGTAAAGGATGCGCACACTCTGTGTCGGGTTCGGTGGTTTCAGCAGCCTGCGCGGGCTTAAGCGGTTGGCAACAGTCGTCACTTAAAATGAATTACAATATTGAACGTGCGTCGTGCAAGCAGGTCCAAGATTTCGCGGATCCTGCATTGAGTGGACCCAGTAACGGGCCCCAACATCGGCGGCACGCACTCAACCATGCCAGCAGCCGCTTCCGAACGTATTTTCAACACGGCTACAGCACAAAAGCGCCGATCTAACTCTCCGCGAATGTCCGTGTCCCGTTAAAACGCCCCCCCCCCCCACCTCCACCCCCACTCCCCTCCCCAGTGAGCGTGCCGTTCAGACGACCAGCTCCTGGTGCTAGACCGCATGGGTCTCAGGGGGCGGGGCGTGATGTGACGGTCTCCGTGGCGTCTTCTCGTGGAGCAGGCCCGAACTGGGCGGCCTAGGCGACGGCTGGGGCAGTCAGCTCGTACTCCTGAGAACGCAGGCAGAGAGGTGGTCCGAGCCCGGCCCATGCTGAGGACGCTGCGCGCTTCTGCAGACGACGCGCAGTACCGGCAGAGCGCCAGGCGTTTTGTGAAGATTGAGCGCCGAGGTGTGGCATGACTAAAACTTCATCCCTCGGCATAGAGTAAAGTTCACCGCCACTTGGCATGAAGGCAACGTCGTCTATTCGCGCGCAGACCTTGGACGATAAGCAAAATAGCCAAGTTACGGCAAGTTAGAGTGCAGATATGGGACTCTGGTCCTGACGAAGCCATTAAAGAAAAGTAACTGTCACTCGTCGAGCTGGTTATCAAAACGTTGCGGACCTCATAACGCACATAACGCCTAATTCCCAAGCCGTCAATTTTCACGCCGTTTGGAGCTTTGTAAAGTGGGGACACAAAATCCCGTCTACCAGACTCGACTCGGCTTACAATGATGTTCCGCTCCTTGGGCCGGTAGAAGTCGTAGACCTTGACCACAGATGGCTTGAGCTCCTTGACCTCTGTCTCCTGGATTATACGGAATTCGAGGCATGTCTTGTCCTCTGTCACCGTGCCCAGCGTAAAGGTCACCTTGCCGTCCTTCGAGTCGTACTTGCGCACACCTGGCCGCATCAGAGAGGCAGTGACAGTGGATGAGTCGGTGTGGCGATGTGGGGATATGGCGGTGTGGCGATGGGCGATGGACGATGTGACGATGTGACGATGTGTCGATGGGCGATGTGGCGATGTGGCGATTGGCGATGTGGTGTAGGTATTGAGGGCTACATTTCGGCGCGCTTTGCTGCACCTTTCACAGGGGCAATATGAATCAGAATGGACATTACCTTTATTGCCACCGTGGAACGTACGGCAAGATGCGCCAAAATATGGGTATTTGGCACAAGGCCACACGGGCATATTTTTATACAAACAGAATAACAGTGTACCGGTGTTAGAGACATAATGCTGCATTCGCAACTTTAATTCAAAATAGCTTACAACGAATTGAGTGAATTCAGTTTGGCGGCAAAAGAACCCAAGTCATTTCAAGATTCAGTTTTTGAAGCTCAGCCTTCTCGGAGTTAAGGGTAAAGAACACCCAATACTTCCGGTCGCACTAAACCAAACTTTACCGATCTGTAACCGGCTGATTTGGGCTGTGCCGTACATCACGCCAGGCCGTGTACTGGCTGGGAAACTGTTCCCGGTCAGTTTGTCTATAAAAATGGATGTGATGAATGATAGTCTTGGCGGATTTGAAAAACACGTAACCTACGCGTCCTTACGAGTGAGAAGAGGAAATCGATATGGTCGCAAAATCGCGCAAAGCAATTGACAGCTTTGATCTTCGGTGCCACACAAATAACGTGTGTTGCAGCGTTCAAATCACCGGTCGGCCAAAAGCAATTCCAGCACACGACTCTGCTCTACCACGCGGGCGCTTTACCAAATGCCATTGCAGACACTTCACGAAGCTGGAAAAAACGGACAGCAGCGTGTTTCAACAGCATGCGATCAAATGCTCCCAATATATCCGCCCCAGCTGTACTGCCATTATCACGCACCCTTCTGCTGACGGAGACTGCGTAGGGTGCTGTCGACCGGGATGTAGCCAGAGGGCATCTCGACCTCCAGGATCACACGATCAGCGCCGCCGGTGTCGCGAAGGAAGCTGGTGCACACCTCGATCTGCTGGGAGGCGCCGGAGCGGCCGCGAGCCTTCGTGGCCACGCCCAGCGAGAAGGCCGGGTCCGGTACCTGGAGGCAACGATCAGGGTCATGGTCAGGGTCAGGGCGGGGTCACAGTCGGGATCAGTGCCAGTGGAGAGGAGTGACATATAGAAGCCAGAGGGGCATCCCAGGGCGGGGTGGCGGCGCTGGAGAACCAAGGCGAGCCGGGGCCAGAGCGCTTCAGACAGACAATGATTTAAGATTCGGTTATTTGGGTGGCTGTGTAGTCGATATCGTTTCACGTTTTACACTTCTGGCTTGTGGTTCACTGCTCTATGATCTTCCTCTTGCTTAATATCGGCCAATAAGCATCGCGTCAGGTGGCAGACATCCCAGCTAACGCCGCACGGGCTCGGGCTCGAAAAATGGGCAGGACAGGTCAGAGGTCTGAGTTCGGGGTCAAAGGGCAGCGTATCAGCACCAAGGAATTGTAGGCGGAGGTTGCTTGAGAACCAGGATCCTGGTAGCGTACATTTCTGTTTGCATTGTGGGCACCCGACTGATTGATTTTAGAACGCCGGAGACGAACTCAAGGACCTGACCACGACAAGGAGAATGGAGAGGGGAAGCTGGAAAAGTGGCGGGAGGGGAGGGGAGGGGACACGCAGCGGTCGATGCGGCAGAGATCAGGTGAGGACACTGTGGAGCGCCAGGGAAAGGGAGATGCAAAGCCCGGGTTACTACAGGGTGAGAGATGCTGCAAACAAGGCTACTGTGGGCCTTCGGGACGGAAAGGTAAGATGGCAGGAGGGAGCGGTTCCCAGGGCGTGAAACGACACGTCCGGCATAGCCCACGCAAGGTGTATGGAAAGGTCAGAGCCGGCGTTACAGTTGAAATGAAGGAAATGGAGTTGGAGGCAGCACAGAGTTCGGTACTATCATCCAAACCTCCCTTGCTATCAGGATGCAAGGAGATGTCTGATTTGGATTTCGTGGGGAGCGGAGAGGGGGAGGAAGGAGGGGGCAGAAAGAGGTCAGTCCTCAGACCCGATCTGGCGCCCGTCCTTCGCCGTTCCCACGCCTCCCACCGCTCCGGAGCGACACAGTGCGCGTGCGCAACGGTACTGCACCTGGAAAGTGCTGCTGTACTTGAAGTTGGTTTGGATCACCACGCAGCCGGGAGGGCTGACCTCGAACTTCACGGTCGCCGGCAGCTGCGGCAGGGCACATGGAAACATGTTAGACCGTGACGACAGGGCGGTATGGACAGCAGTGACGGCAGAGGGTCTGGACAGCGGTGACGACAGGGCGGGCTGGACAGCGGTGACGGCAGGGCGGTCTAGGCAGCGGGGACGACAGGGGACTGAGCAGCGGTGAAGGCAGGGGGAATGGACGGCGGTGACGGCAGAGCGGTCTGGACAGCGGTGACGGCAGGGCGGTCTGAACAGCGGTGATGGCAGGGCGGACTGGACAGCGGTGACGACAGGGCGGTCTGGACAGCGGTGACGGCAGGGCGGACTGGACAGCGGTGACGACAGGGTGGTCTGGACAGCGGTGACAGCAGGGCGGTCTGGACAGCGGCTGACTGCGACATGCAGCTGTTGTGGTTTACTATGCCTCGTAGCAGACAGCTGGCAGTGTCGTGGTACGGACGCCACAGAGACCATTCGCTGACAAACACCACTCATTGTCGAGCCGACGATGCCTTCGCACGTGCTGCCTTTATATCAATAGGCGCTGGCTGGACGAAGGTATGAAGTAAAAATCGCGACGTGTTATGAGAACATTCCATGTTTCAAGCCAGGACTCACGGCCCCGAATTTAGACCAGAACCAGGTTGCAGCCACGCATCGGGAGCCCTCCAACACCAAGGATAATGCTGTCAGGCGACAGGCATGCTCATGGCATATCCCAACGGATGCTTGGTGCCGGTCCCTAACCCGTGCCGTCCAGAATATCAGAGGTAAGGGATTTTCAGCAAAACCGTTAAAAACGCAGAACAAACAAGAATAAATGTACTTCTTGTTCGTAACAAGCCCCATGTGATTCAAGAGATTCCAGACCGATGTGGCGCAGCGTCAAGCCTCTGACCACGCCCAGAACGCCCGCCGGATGACGCCGCGTCCCCGTCCCGGGCGGGCGGCGAGCTGGCGCCGGACCGGGAGCGGCCGTACCGTCAAACCGGGGATCTTCCGCTGCTGGAACAGCAGACGGTTGGAGGCGTCGGCGGTCAGCTGGACGGGCGCGCCGCCGGCCGTGACCTCCACCGCCGTCGTCAGGTCAGAGGCGAACGTGCGAGCGGCGAACTCGGTCAGAGCGTGCACGGCCACGATCGTGTCCTGGAGGTGCGCCACAGCGGCCGTGTCAGAAGCGGGATCTGGCGCCAAGATCAAACAACACCGGGGATCTGGCACCAAGGTCAAACAACACCGGGGATATGGCGCTAAGGTCAAACAACACCGCATCGTGGCCGACTTCGCCCGCTTGGCTGTTTGCCACGGCTCGACGCCATTCACTGCGTACGAAAGACGCCGATGACGTCACTTAAATGCTGCCCCATGTGGCATATATTTCGCTGGAGGTTTGGGAGGGTGGGTTACGTTACCGCGCGCAAGAATGGCGACGGATACAGCAGTCAGTTCTACAATGGCAACGGATACAGCAGTCAGTTCTACAATGGCGACGGATCCAGCAGTCAGTTCTACAATGACTCCTCGAGTGCCGTTGAGCTACCAACGAACGTTCCGATGGTGGGCTGTCATTTATTATGATGATTAGTCTGTCGGTAGCGACTCGGTATCCAGCAGGGCGCATATGTATTGCTCCGCAGCACAAAGCAACTGTACTTTGAAACAATGTGCAGTTGTGGGTCATCACCAGGTATTAGCGGATTAGTCCGTCGATAGTTGGTGACTGCCGTGATATCAACCACCGGTGGCCGTGATATCGACCGCCGGTGGCCGTGATATCGACCACCGTTGGCCGTGATATCGGTCACCGGTGGCCGTGAAATCGACCACCGGTAGACGTTTGTCGCAGGTCGGCGCACAGGTGGCACCATTGCCCGTCACGGGGCTCCGGCCGTTCCAGTGAAGGTGTGGGATACGTTCGGTGGTGACATCTCACACACGCCTCACCCAGCGTACTTGCCACATCTTCATGCTTACCAAACATCGGTAGATTCAAAAATCGTGACGTCATTAATGCCCTACGATGCGTGACCAGGCGCGATCAACATCAGCCACGCAACACTGGCCGTGCTTAGAAAGCATGTCTCGGCGCAGTACAGAGCGTCAGTGGTGTTCTTCCGAAGACAGCAGGTGGCGAGTCATGTTCTGGGCCAGACAGCTGGGGACGAAGCCTGCGCAGCCAGCCCACTGCTGCTTACCTGAGTGGTGATAAAGCCTCCCCGGCTGTTGCGCTGCTGGTTGATCCAGCGCACGGCACGGGCTGCCTCCTCCAGGTAGCCCTTGCCAGAGATGTGCAGCAGCGAGAGCACCATGTAGGCCGTCATCTCCACATCCACAGCGCGGCTGCCGCCCACTGCCCAGCGGGGAGAGGGCCGTGTGTCAGACGGCTGACATCCGTCAGAGCCAACAGTCTGGGTTGACAATGGTCCAAAGGACGTGCCGTTGAGAGCAGATGACAGGCGATGCGCGGGAAGACAGGACATGAGGCTTTGGATGCAGAAGAAGACAGGATAGGGGACCATGGATTCAGAATAAGACAGGACAGGAGACCATCGATACAGGAGAAGATAGGACAGGAGGTTATCGATGCAAGAGAAGACGGGACAAAAGGCCATCGATGCAAGAAAAGACAGACCAGGAGGTCATCGATGCAAGAGAAGACAGGACAGGAGGTCATCGCGCTAGACACCAGTGTTATTGTCATGTTATCGGTTATCGTTAGCTAGTTATCAGAAGTTATCGATGCCCACTGGCCGATACAGAGCGGAGCAGCCTCGTCGTGTCGCAACCAACCAGAGCCGCAGACAGCGGGGAGAACACGGCGACAAACAGCGCCTGGCAGGGCGTGCTCCAGCGCGCGCCGGCGTCGGAACTCACAGATGGTGCTGCGGTCTCCCTCCCAGTAAAGGACATCGTCTCCCTCGCGTTTGGCCCGGTCCATCAGCTTGGCGACCAGGCGCTCGCCCTTGACGTCCTGGCCCATCTTCAGGTATGTATGGGCCATCAGGATCTGAAACAGCGGACACCGGGAGATGACACGGCATGACATCACGGGCGTTTGGAGTAGACACCACGGGCTGCAGAGGCTGGTGCTTAAATATCCGGAGCGGACATTCACTCGAGCTACAGGTGCGGATATCCGGAGCGGACATTCACTCGAGCTACAGGTGCGGATATCAGGGGAGGTGCGGATATGCGGAGCGGACATTCACTCGAGCTACAGGTGCAGATATCCGGAGCGGAGAAGAACATAGTGGACTGGGTGTCAGCAGCAAGCAACGAATGCCACGGACTGACACCAGGCGCTGATGCAGCAATGTTGCAAAATTATACCAGGAGGCGATACATCTCACATCCTAAGGTGACAACTGACAACTGGCCTACTGAAAATACCGAGAAAACTGAAAGTCAATCATTTTTTTCTGTCATTCGTGAATCAGAGCTAGCGGCATCAGCGTATGTGACGCGGTCAGACGCCGTTGACGTCACGCCAGCGAGGAGGGCCTCGAGCGACGCACCTTGCAATTCTGACGTCAAAGTCAACGCAACGCATCACCTGTATTCTTCCAGCTGCTATCATGACTAACATGGCACAGACTGCGCGGCGTTCCTCTCGCTGGCTATAAACGCCAGCGCTGTGCTGATGTGATCGCTGCATTGGCCGGCTGGTGGAAGCTCTACTGGTTGGTTACGTCCTAATCACCGACTTTTGCTGATACGGATCGATGCCTCGCGAGCTGGCCTTCCTTCAAATAATCTACCACCAGAAGGCTTTATACTGACTGTCATTGGACGGCACCCAGCTCTCAGCGTTTCCGCTGAGCGGCTTGGTGCTGGCTGCGCGATGGAGTTCCGGGCAGCTGGCCCTAGCCCAGCGTCCGGCTGCGGTCCTGCGTCCTGGCACAGTCGGCCCTAGCCCAGCGTCCAGCTGCGGTCCTGTGTCCTGGCACAGTCGGCCCTAGCTCAGCGTCCAGCTGCGGTCCTGCGTCCTGGCACAGCTGGCAGTAGCCCGGCTGTATCCCGGCATAGCTCGCCCTAGCCCAGCTTCCAGCTGCGGTCCTGCGTCCTGGCACAGCTGGCAGTAGCCCAGCTGTGTCCTGGCATAGCTCCCCCCAAGCTCAGCTGTGTCCCGATACAGCTGGCCCTTGCCCAGCTGTATCCCTGCACAGCTGACCATAGCCCAGCTGCGTCCTGGCACACCTGGTTCTAGCCCAGCTGTGTCCTGGCACTGCCGGCGCTAGCCCAGCTGTGTCCTGGCTGGCGGACTCCCTACCAACTGTCGAATCTTCCTCACAGAATCCAGGCGCTACAGTACCGACTAACTGACTCTGGAGCCCGAGACGAGTCTCCCAGCGTCCCCCACAAGCTTTGCCGCGCTGCCGCCCACTGCGTCGTCACAGCACTGACCTCGGAGTAGAGGGTCTTGTTGGGGAGCAGCAGGCCGTCTTCCAGGCAGGCGAAGCCGCCGGCCAGCTGGTCAGAGGTGGCCACGTCCTTCAGCGCCAGCATGACGAACGCCGTCAGCGCCGCCTCGCCGCCCCGCTCCGTCCCGCCCTGTCAGCGATATGGGACAATGTCAGAGGTCACAGTCAGAGGTCAGGGCAAGAGGTCAGGTTCGGGACCAAGGTCGGGGTCAGGATCTAGGTCGAGGGTCAGAGGTCAGTGTCAGGATCAGGCCCCGGATTATTGGCCACTGGGGCACACGGTAAGATGTTTGCCTTGTGTGAAGGGGTGGAGAGTGATGATTAGTGGTCAGAGGGGCAAACTGTGGCTCAGAGCCCTTGTGTGAAGGGGTGGAGAGAGTGATGATTAGTGGTCAGAGGGGCAAACTGTGGCTCAGAGCCCTTGTGTGAAGGGGTGGAGAGAGTGATGATTAGTGGTCAGAGGGGTAAACTGCGGCTCAGAGCCCTTGTGTGAAGGGGTGGAGAGAGTGATGATTAGTGGTCAGAGGGGTAAACTGCGGCTCAGAGCCCTTGTGTGAAGGGGTGGAGAGAGTGATGATTAGTGGTCAGAGGGTTTGCCTTGTGTGAAGGGGTGGAGAGAGTGATGATTAGTGGTCAGAGGGGCAAACTGTGGCTCAGAGCCCTTGTGTGAAGGGGTGGAGAGAGTGATGATGAGTGGTCAGAGGGGCAAACTGTGGCTCAGAGCCCTTGTGTGAAGGGGTGGAGAGAGTGATGATTAGTGGTCAGAGGGGTAAACTGCGGCTCAGAGCCCTTGTGTGAAGGGGTGGAGAGTGATGATTAGTGGTCAGAGGGGTAAACTGTGGCTCAGAGCCCTTGTGTGAAGGGGTGGAGAGAGTGATGATTAGTGGTCAGAGGGGCAAACTGTGGCTCAGAGCCCTTGTGTGAAGGGGTGGAGAGAGTGATGATTAGTGGTCAGAGGGGCAAACTGTGGCTCAGAGCCCTTGTGTGAAGGGGTGGAGAGAGTGATGATTAGTGGTCAGAGGGGCAAACTGTGGCTCAGAGCCCTTGTGTGAAGGGGTGGAGAGAGTGATGATTAGTGGTCAGAGGGGCAAACTGTGGCTCAGAGCCCGTCTGCCAGGGGAGAATCAGCACCAATGCAGTACGCTGTGATAGGTTCCCCGTAATATGGAGGGATGTGGGTCAAGACCAGCGGCCACTAAAGCCCACTGTAAACGCGTCACCAGCCGGGGGTGTGAGTTGGGACGAAGGTCTGTCGTTGGTGGCGTACAGTTTACGAGATGCCCTCTGTGGGAGGATGGGCGGTTTCAGGACCAGCAGTTCCTGGAGTTCACTGTCAAACGTCCTTATTACTTGGCAAATAACGATTAATATTGGCACACTGAATGAATTGCAAACATGAACAAATTAAGCATCACGACTTTAAGAGCCGGAGCAGTAAGAATATATAACGACAGCCTTCCAGCCTCTGGCCGATGATGATGGTTCTGCTCTCTCGCTAGGCGTGAGCGTAGAGTCTGCCCGGCAGGCGCAGTGGCGGCCGCACCAACCCTTCTAAATCGGCGTCGTGTTGTCATGTTCCCGCCCGCCCGCGTACCCGCCTGCGCTGGCGCACAGCCGCGCCCAGCCACACCGGCCTCCTCACCTTCAGCTCCTTGTGGATGAGGTCTCCTACACGAGGGAAGCAGCCGTTGGGCAGCTGGCGCTCCAGTATCCACGACACGCTCTGCTCCGTGACTGTCGGGTCTGAGGACGGGGGGGGGGGGAGGGTCAGAGCAGGGCGCGTGACGACGTTCTGTCAGTGACGGAGCTGCTGCCGAGCATGTTAAGCACTGGCATAATCAGCAGCAAACTCACGTGCTACGTACTAACCCGCCTATGCCGACTCGCAACATATGCACTATCTTTTTGTCTCCTTATTTGGCTTCAAGAGGCTTATCACTTGCGTGATATCATGAGCACTTTGGTTGCTCTTTTTTTTTCTTCTTACCACTTCATCATTGCATAATACTACACAAAATAGCACGCATTTGTTGTCTGCGCATGACCCCCACTTGGTTGTGTCATGTCCGCTCTTCGTCTTCGCCACCCCCACCGGACACTTACCGATGTCGATGAACTTGGCTGCCTCGGTGAACGCCCTCACGACGAAGGCGGTGAGCCAAAGCGAGCCCTCGGGGTCCTCGGCGCCGTACGAGGAGAACGAGCCATCGGCGCGGCGGTAGCGTAGCTCGCGCTGCACGCCTGCCGGTCCGCACGGTCCGGTCAGCGCTCGGCCCTCACAGCGTCAGCAGGGGGGGGGGGGGGGGGCGGAGGTGCGACAACGACCAGGTGTTCATGCCCTTGACCTTAGGCACAACGACATCACGTGACATGTGTCGAGATAAGTGAAGCACTCGGCAGGCGGAACGTGTCTGCGGCTTTTAAAATAGCATGGGCTGTTCATGTCTCTCCAAGCCTCATGCGGTAGCATGGGCGTCAGAAGAGAATGCAATGACCGTCACTCATCTCTAAATCCGTGGCTGATCACTTCTCATCTCGAGGCCCCACACTCACCGCTCGCATTTTGAGATCTCCATCTCATCGCCTTTCATCTTGAGGTCCCACTCTCACCGTTTCCCATCTCGAGATCCCACCTCACCGCTTTTCATCTTGCGGTCCACAGCTCGTCATCTCGAGGTCCCCCACAACGTTGCTCATCTCGAGCTACCCCTCGACGCTGCTCACCTCGAGGCCACGGACCGGCCGCACCTCATGTCGAGGCCGCTCCCCATCCCGATAGCTCACCGCTCAGCATGTTGTGGTTGGTCTGGCGGCGCTCGCGCTCGGTGAGCAGGCCAACCTTCTCCAGGTACGCCCGCGCGTAGATGTTGGGTACGAACGTCACCATGTTGGGCTCACCGCCGCCGGTCGGCGAGTCGATCAGCCCACTTTGCAGGTTCTGTCCGGGCACAAGTCGAACTTAGAGGTCGGCAGGTCAGACAGGTCAGACAAGGGTTACTGAAGGTCACGCAAGAAGAGAGAGTGAAGACCAGACTGAGTGCTGGAGGGCTCACACACAGTGTGTTTAAGCAAGAGACGAAGGATAAGACATGCCAGCCGGGGGACCCCAAGGCTAAACAGTTCGGAGAGCTGAGATAAGGTAATATTAGACGCAACAGATCAGACAGGCCTTGTTTGGAAACAAAGAGGAGGATGAGACACTTCCGACAGCGCAGCACAGAGTGCACAGCGAAAATGATTGCCAACAACAAACCAGACGCTCACAAAAGAAGTGACAGCCCATATTTAGACAGACTACATCATATTTACTTAATACTATCATAATATTAACGCCGATGATTTCCGAGACATCTCAGCAGAACAGCGTCAGCAGTGGGCGGCCGCCCGCTCGGCGGCGTCGCTGCTCACCTTAAAGGTGGGACTCAGCAGATCGCCCGCCACGGAGAAGAAGGCCCTCTCAGAGTCCGCCACCAGGCCGTCACGCACCGGCAGCTCCACCGTCTCCACGTGCTGGTTGTCATCTGTCGGGCACCACCAGCGTCAGCTTAAAGGCTCGGTATCGTCGCCACGGACGGAACCAGGACAAGCAATTGAGGAGCGCTCATCACTCGAAGGGGGGGGGGGGGGGGTTGAGGGCCTCAATGCGCCGACAAAATAAGCTTTTAACGAAGACGTGTGCGCTGTTCTAGACCGGTCCGGCACCGAATTCAACACAGGAGACAACACAGAAGCCAACACAGGAGCCAAGACAGGTGTCAACACAAGAGCCAGCACAGGAGCCAACACAGGCGCCAACACAGGAAGCAACACAAGTCAGCAAACACCGATCCCATACAACTGCACATACCAAATCTAGGCAGGTGTAAGCTTAAGGGATTTTTATGGGAAAGAGGCACAAGAAGGGACACAAAAAGGACACAAAAGGGGCCAGAAAACAGCCATAGATTTAAAAATCATAGCAGTGCTGCCCAGCCCCAACTCAAAATGGGCTTTATCCGAAGGTGAACGTGCCAACACACCAGAGTAACTTATGTCATCCAGTCACCAAGCAACACTCTTAGAACAGCCCCAGATTTGGCGCAGTCACGAACTCCAAATGGCAAGGGTTGGGGGGGGAGGGGGGGAGGGGGGAGCGAGCGGAAGCCGGCACTCACCCTTGTCGAGGCAGATGAAGCGAGAGAACGTCTCCTCCTGCGCGAAGCCCTCCGGCTTGATGACGATCGGGCGGATAACCGTGTCACTGACGGCACGGGAGAGCAGGTGAGCACGGCGGGATCATGGTGCACGGGACCAAAGTGCGTCACCCGAGAAGCATGACAAACTATGAAACTTGAGGAGGAGGAGGAGGGAGGAGGGAGGAGGAGGAGGAGGAGGAGAGGAGGAGGATGGAGGAGGAGGAGGAGGAGGAGGAGGAGGAGGAGGGGAGGAGGAGGAGGAGGAGGAAGGAGAGGAGGAGTAGGAGGGGGAGGAGATAGAGGAGGAGAGAGAGAGAGAGAGAGAAGGATAGAGAGAGAGAGAGAGAGAGAGAGAAGAGAGAGAGAGAGAGAGAGAGAGAGAGAAGAGAGAGAGAGAGAGAGAGAGAGAGAGAGAGAGAGAGAGAGAGAGAGAGAGAGAGAGAGAGAGAGAGAAATATGTCTGGAGAAAGGAAGGTAAAGAGATAGGGCGGAAGGAGAACAAGAGATACGGAGGAAGGAATGGTGGGAGGAAGGAAAAAATGCAGGGAGGAAGGAAAGAATGCAGGGAGGAAAACAGAAAGGCTGAGGGGAAAGAATGGAAAAAATACATGGAAACATGCACACAGTTTTGCTGATCAGTCAGGTCACTTGATTACCGATTTTCGCCACTGAAAATACAATACAAACCTTTGAAGCGGCTTATATCGGATATTTAAGATATACTCCCAAAGTCCGCTCGGGGCCTTGGGAGGCGTGCTACGGGACTGCTACGGAACTGCTCGACTACTGGCTAGTCCTCACCTCCCCGGCGTCACCGCGTTGGCCTCCTCGCAGTTGCCATCCTTGGCCCTGGCAGAGACGGTGATGTTGACGTCTCCCAACGCAGAGAAGGTCAGAGGGAAATGCCTGACCTCAGTCAGGCCCGGGCCGACGCAGAGGTCGAAGCCGGCCGCTGCCTCGCCGTCAGCGAGGGCATACTGCTCCGACTCGGCCAGCTCGAGGTACACCTGGGCACGGCGGGCAGGTCAGGCCCAGGCCACGCCTCTAGAGCTGGACAAGCGATGCCGGAGAAGTGGTGGGTTATCGATGTCGTCGCCGTTGTTGCCGTTGCCGTTGTTGCCGTTCCTGCTCAGCTCGCTGTTCACCGTGTGCGGCCGGCTACGTACCAGCCCTCACGTCTCTCCACTTCACGTCACGTCACGTTTCATCACGTCACGTACCTCACGTGACATGACAGGGACATGAACAATGAAATCGTCCATTCGCCCACCTCAAGGTTCTGGCAGGGGCATGTGTGCAGAGGTGCAATGTGTGCAGAGGTGCAAGGTGTGCAGAGGTGCAATGGAACCGTTCAGGGATCCAGGCCCTAAGTACGCCGGACAAGGGGGAGGGGGGGCAATGCCGCTATGGGCCAGGTCTATGCATGCTCGGACGCGTGTGGGAAATAGCATGGGAACAAGCGACCTCGACCAGCTCAAGGTTCTCAACTCCGGGGCAAGCTCCACCCCAACCTGCGGACTTGCCGGGCGGCTGGCACTCGGGGAGTTCATATACACATCAAGTATGGTGCGAGGTCACGGAGCACCATTCCTATAGATGCACGGTCCCACAACAGCCTCATATCTCATCAAGTATGATTTGAAGCCACGGAACACTATTCCTATGGATGTGCGGTCCCACAGCAACCTCGCTGAGTCAGCTGTCAGGCGTCAGCTCATTCATGACAGAACATACGGTCCTTTTGTCATGACCACCGTCAGTTGCTCGCCTATTCTTGATTAACGGATATATTGCACTTCGCTAATTTTGCCTGAATGCACACAAATCTGTCATGGCCCATCTGTCATGGCCCACAAATCTATCTGTCTGTCATACACACAAATCTGTCTGTCTGTCATACACACAAATCTGTCATCTGTTGCCAACTCCAGCCGTTTCCATCTTCGATTCCAATATTTGCTTGCACCCGGCGTCTGCGCGCAACACAGTGCCGAGGGACACCCACGAGCGAGACCAGCAACGACCGGCCCTCCGGACCGGCACCCACCGACCCAGCAACGGCCGGCGCTCCGGGCCGGCACCCACCGACCCAGCAACGGCCGGCGCTCCGGGCCGGCACCCACCGACCCAGCAATGGCCGGCACTCCGGACCGGCACCCACCGACAGGCTGGAGTCGAGGAAGTTGAAGACGGTGGCTGACATGTTGAGCACCTCTCCGCGCTTCAGTGAGTAGGGAAGCGACACCTCGGTGAAGAAGGGCTTGACAGTGGTGATGCTGGTCTTGTTTGAGAGGCCGAAGCCGTCCTGCAGGCGGGGTACCTCGATGTTACTCTACGACAACATGACCAAGTGCCTCGACAAACCGAGTGCGTCAGACAAATGCACGCACTTGATGGTGACACCTGACACACGGTGCGTGGTATTGCGACGTGCGTTTAAATAGCAGTCCGGCGCCGTCAGCAGCCCGGTGCAATCTGGTGGTGCTGAGGCTGCGCACCACGGCCCGGGCAACTGATGCACCACCAGCACCAATGCGCACCACATCCGCAGCGCAGGAGAAGCGCACCTGAGCGTTGGTGCAGACGGCGGAGCCGACCCACGAGGTGATGGTGTCGGGCATCTCCTCGGTCAGCGTCACCACGCCCTCGGCACTGCCGGACAACAGCAGACATGTACGCCTCGGCGTGCAACACGTGCGTGTTGCGATGCGAGTCGTGCGTCTTGTGTACCCTATCCAACGCAATCCACTATCCACATTTGCGCGTGGCATAATGTTACAGCTTTGCCGTACATATTCTGGCATGGTGTCCTCAGCATCTACTGGAGCCGCCCCTTCAGTCCAGTGTTCCGATACTGGTCGATCAGTCCCAGAACCCCGGCCCCTTCAGCGTCACCATCCAGCACTCTCTCATCCAGCCAATCAAGGCCCTGAACCCTGGCCCCCTTCAGCACCACCATCCAGCACTCCCCCGTCCGACCAATCAAGTCCCTGAACTCCGGCCCCCTCCAGCGCCACCATCCCGCATTATCCCATCCAGCCAATCAGGGCTGTACTACCCCTACACCCCATATCACTATCATTACCATCACACTACCACTACCTGGCCTCCGCGCCACCTACTCCTCAGGCCCTCCTCCCCCCCCCCCCCCCCCCAACGAAAACCCCTCCAATGCCTGCAGAGTCGCCACACGGACTACTCACTTGAGCGTCTCGATACTGAAGAGGAAGACTTCGAGGAAGGAGTCGCGGATCTGGTCCTCCTGTGGCGCCGGGGGTGTCGACCCCCTAGCCCCCCCATCGATAGCGAGGTCGGCGTCCTCCAGCACAGGCGGCCCGGCGGCCAGGAACGCCTGCTGCGGAGGGCCGCCGAGGTTCGCGAACGACGAGGTGGTCGTCTGACGGGGAGGAGCCGAGTTAGCTGGGGCGCATGCACGGACCACGCCAAAACGGAGCATGAACGGAGCAGCGCTACACCGTTCATTAACACACGCGCCCGGGAGGCCCCTCCCTCTGCCTGATCTCAGGAACTATGGGAGCTAAAGACACCAAATTCACAGGGTGTGTTGTCTGGTACGTGGCCTCGCTTAGGTCAAAGTTTGAGATTCCTAAGTCGTCAAATCCTGGCCAAATAATGTCGAGCACGGTCAAACGTCAGGCTGGTCTCTCAAGTGCTCCAGAACCTAGATATATAGTCTTAACATAAGGTTACATGCTCATTTAATGTCAGTGACCTTGTTTGACCTTTCGAAGGTCATGGTTACCAAAATCATACCGGCCAGCTTCGAGTTTTGCATTTGAATAAGCTACAAAGATTGCGCTAGGCAGTATGCTCCTAATGCAAAATGTTGATTGGTGCTATTTTAGGTCATTGACCTGTTCTGACCTTGAAGAAGTTTATGAAAGATGTACACTGCAGTTCCTGTTATCAGTAAATTCAAAATGAGCACCAGAAAACTACTCCACACAGCAAGCCCTAGCGTAATAAGGCAGGGTCGGTTTTGACCTTGGTCTGGGCCTTATACCCGACTCTAGGTCAATGCAATTTGTTCATTCAATTGTTGTGTTACCCGAAAAACCATCTCAGAGACGTATGGCTTCATCTAATACTCCGGTGTTGCATCAGATTGAACGATTCCCTAGAAATTGATTTCGCTGAATCCATGGCCTGACTTTGACCCGCCGTCGGTCGGCGACCTTACAAGATATATCTAAATGTTTCATATCAAACGTTCCGCTAGTCAATTGTATACAGCTATGCACAATTTGGTGCGGCTACGCCGCTCCGTTCAAAAACCATTTCGAGATCCCCTTAGGGGGGGGGGCAAATTGACCCCCACCCGAGCGCGGATTAAGATTCCCGAGGCGCACAGAAAGGTGGGAGCGGCCTGATGAGCACATGAGACAGAACGCAGAGCTGAACCGGCCGCAGGGACGGAAATACACCGAAGATGAAAACCAAAGGACACACTTAGATACGCACGCCAAGAGTTCTTCAACACAACGAAGTTCAGGATCGACTAATAGGCAAGGAAGCTGCCACATCAATAAAAAGATTCACAATAGCATTAGACCAACCACAGACAAAAGGGACGGGAAAAGAGGAAACGCGCAAGCAAGCATGACAAGGCATCACACAAACACTGTTTGGCCACCGCTGTATGAAGAGGCGAGTCATCGATTATGAAACAGCAGCCCATGAAAATTATACTTGTCGGGGTCTAACAATGCAGAGTAAAAGATCACTTAGCATCAATGCTTTTTCCCGATTGCTAAAAAACGACGAAACTTGGATTGAGTGCGACGTGCCGTACACAGGCATGAGATAAATACACTTCGCTGAGGGGCACCATCCCTTCCATGATGTATACAGAGAGGAGAGAGAGAGAGAGAGAGAGAGAGAGAGAGAGAGAGAGAGAGAGAGAGAGAGAAGAGAGAGAGAGAGATAGAGAGAGAGAGAGAGAGAGAGACAGAGAGAGAGATAGAGAGAGAGAGAAGAGAAGAGAGAGAGAGAGAGAGAGAGAGGAGAGAGAGAGAGGAGAGAGAGAGAAGAGAGAGAGAGAGAGAGAGAGGAGAGAGGAGCGAGAGAGAAGAGAGAGAGAAGAGAGAGCGAGAGAGAAGAGACGAGAGAGAAGATAGAGAGAGAGAGAGAGAGAGAGAGAGAGAGAGAGAGAGAGAGAGAGAGAGAGAGAGAGAGAGAGAGAGA